GGCTTAGAGTAGACGACAGAGTACAGCTACTTGCAATGGGCCTGGTCTACAAGATCCACTACACCTCTATGGTACCCATGTACATGTCAAAATTCTTCCCAAAGGTCAAGGAATACCATGATCATAACACCAGAGGGAGCTCCACAAATCATGTGAAACCCAGATTTGGCACAAAAAAGGGGGAATACACGTTTCGCAATGATGCCACATCAAGGTGGAACGCTCTTCCCACAACTGTAAAGGAAAGTAAAACTATACTTACCTTCAAAACCTCTCTTAAAGAGCAACCTTCGGGGGAGAGCATTGCAAAATACTGGCCCCGGTAATGGTACAAATCTCAACCTGTCGTTCAATGGACAGCTTCCCCCCCCCCCATCTATGTATATACTCGCATTTTAGACTCTGTTACTAACTGTATATCTGTAGACTTGGTATGTCTTAATGTCCGGTTAGGATGTATTAGAAACGAAATCTAAAATGTAAATTGTAAATAAGCAATCTGTATGTAAAAACCCACCTGTATGTAAATTGTAAATAAGCCATCTGTATGTCAAATATGTCTTATATGTCTTAAATGATATGATGAATTGGAAATGGGGGACCCTGATGTAAACAAGACGAAAGTCTTTCTCTGGTCTGCATCCCCTTAACAATTGTATGTTTTGAGCTGTACTGTACTGTACCCAATATACAAGCTGTTAATACACTTTTCAATCAATCAATCAATCAATCAATTAAACAACACACACACATACAGACACACACTCACACACATAGACACACACACAAACACACACATACACAAACAAACACTCTCACACACACACTCACACACATACCGACACAAACACATCATAAACCTTGACTTTGTTCGTAGCATTTAATGAATATTGATCCTTGCCTTTTATGAATACATCAAATGTTATGAACAAAGTCATGGTTTAAAATGTGTTTGTGTCGGTATGTGTGTGAGTGTGTGTTTGTGTGTGCGTGTGTGTCTCTATATGTGTGTGTGAAGATTCCAATATTAATATCCAATAATATAATAAGACACAGTATGTGTCTTATTTAAACACACTTCAAAGGGCTTTACAAGCAATTAGCAACACTTAAGATGAATACAATAAATACAATACAAAAACACAAGTCATATTGGTTTAATGACAAAATCCATTAAAATACTTTGAGGAAAGGTGGACGAATGGGTAAAGAACATTACAATGAAGATCATTAATGTATATCTGAGTATTAATAATGTATCCATTCTTTTATTTTATTATTTCATTTCGGATTTGTTAACTGGTATGTAGTCTATGTACAGATGTGTTTATTTTGTTATGTATGAATGGTGAATACTTTCTTAAAATGCAAATAAAAGATCAAAACAAAACAGTGATGAGAATCAGCACCGCATGCAGTACCGATGTATGACCACATGAGGGCGCTGTTGTCCAAGGCTTCACGTCCTGTGTGAGGTTATGGATACATAATTGGACTCAGATTAGAAAATGATGAACAGGCCTCAGGAGCAGCTCTGCTCTCTCCGACAGAAACATAACTGGAACATTTTGGAAAGCCATTAAATCGATATCCACCGGTGAGATCCGTAATGAGCTACCTCCGTGCCTCACCACAGCATCTGGCTCTATATCGGACAGGGCCACTATGTTAAATTGCTTTAATGAGCATTTTGTGTCCTGTGGTTCTCTTTTTGATTCTGTGACTAACTCTGCTTCTGTGAACACTACAGTCCGTGACTCTGAACAGTGTGGTCTGGAAAACCCTTTCAGTTTTACTCCTTTTACTGTCAATGTTGTTCATGAAGCTTTAACCAAGCTAGATCCTAGGAAACCGGCCGGCCCGGACAACGTAGAACCTTTCTTTTTAAAGATAGCTGCAGATTTTATTGCTCTTCCTCTTACTACTCTTTTTAACCTCTCCTTCAGCACTAACACAATTCCAAAAGTATGGAAGTCAGCGTATGTCCTGCCTTTGCTAAAAGGAGGGGAGGCAACTATTTTAAATAACTTTAGGCCAATCTCTAAATTGTCAGTTCTGGCGAAGGTGCTCGAACAACTTAGTGAGTGAACAGGTAAAGGAGTTTTTATGTAACAATGACATCCTGTCTAAACATCAGTCAGGCTTCAGAAAGCAACACAGCACCATCACTGCCACAATGAAAGTGGTGAATGACATTACGAGTATTTTAGACAATAAGCAGAGTTGTGCAGCTCTATTTATTGACCTGTCCAAAGCGTTTGACACCGTTGATCATCACATCTTAAAGCAGAGGCTACTCAGTATCGGCATATCCAGCCATGCAGTGGGTTGGTTTGTGAACTACCTCTCTGAAAGGTCCCAATGTGTTCACTTTGATGGGCTGTCTTCTGAGTGGTTAAACATTGCTAATGGTGTTCCTCAAGGTTCTGTTTTAGGTCCACTTTTATTCTCTATATATATCAACAGTTTAGGTGAAAATGTGGATGAAGCTACTTTACATTTGTATGCGGATGATACCGTGATGTTCTGTGCAGGTCCCTCCATTCAGGAGGCTGCTGTTAAATTACAGGCTGTTTTTAACATTATTCAGACTCAGCTCTCTGAACTAAAGCTTCTTTTAAATGTTGAGAAAACCAAGGTAATGCTCTTTTCTAAAGCTACAAAGACACCAGAGCCTGTTTTAGATATTGTTACTATGCAAGGACAAGTACTCAAAGTGGTTGCCTGTTATAAATACCCAGGTATCTGGCTTGATGATTGTCTCAGTTTTAAACTTCATGTCAATAACCTGCTTAAAAAGCTGAGGGTTAGACTAGGTTTCTTCTACAGGAACAAGTCCTGTTTCTCGCTTGAGGCCAGGAAAAGGCTCTGTGACCTTTGACCTGTGCTGGACTCTGGTGATCTGATGTATATGAATGCACCTGCTGCCCATTGCCTGGTCAAGTTAGATGCTGCGTATCACAGCGCACTGAGATGTGTGACACACTGTAAAGCACTGACTCATCACTGTACCCTGTATGTAAGGGCTGGTTTGCCTTCACTAACTGTACGGAGGCTCAGTCATTGGTACATTTTCATATACAAAGCCATGTTAGGTAAACTTCCATCTTATATCTGCTCCCTGATCTCAGGGTGAATTGTAAGTGGCTACTTCTGAGATTGCATGCTGTGGTTTTATTAAATGAGCCAGCTGCTAGGACTGTCTTAGGGAAGACAGCTTTTAGATGCGCAGCTCCTCTGTCTTGAATAGTCTGCAAATTAAATGGAAACTGAGCAATCTGGTGCCACTAAATGTTTTTAAAGCTCGTTGGATGCTAGTCAATGGGAAGCTGTTGGTACCTGTTCATGTGGATCATTATGTAAATGATGCTGTATGATGTCCTTTTGTTGTTCTGTTTATGCTTTATGTTTCATGTGGAACTACTTGAGCAGGTCTCCTTGAAAAAGAGATCAATGATCTCAATGGGATTCATCTGTATAAATAAAGGTTTGAAATGAAATGAAATAAATCTGTCAGGTTTCAGAGATGGAGGTAGATGTCCTGCACTTTTAATTTAGTGCTGGATGATGAAGAAGAAGAGGACGAAGATGATGATGATGAAGAAGAAGAAGAAGCACCTCTTTATCTGTAAGAAAACAACCTTAAAATGATACACAGTGGGATGATAAAGGTTCCCCATGGAAGTATAAAGCATGTCACCGTGCCCGATGTGAACTGAGTCTGGAGCGATCCAAAGATGGCCTCCGTTTTCTTGAATGGATTATTTATAGAAGAGCAAAAATCTCCTCCCTTCACAATCTATTGTCCATTCACAGTGTGTGTGATCTCTCCCAGTGTCTTGCTCTCTCTGTGTGTGTGCGTGCGTGTGTGTGTGTGTCTGTGTCTTTGTGTGTGTGTGTCTTTGTCTGTGTGTGCGTGTCTGTGTGTGTGTGTGTGTGTGTGTGTGTGTGTGTATGTGTGTCTGTGGTGTGCGTGTGTGTGGTGTGGTGTGTGTGTGTGTGTGTGTGCGTGTGTGTGTGTCTTTGTCTGTGTCTCTGTGTGTGTGTGTGGTGTGTGTGTGTGTGTGTGTGTGTGTGTGTGTGTGTGTGTGTGCGCGGAGGGAGCGATGCTATATAACACAGGCGACACCAACATGCATCTGAAATCCATTCTGCGTAATTACGCACGGTCATCCATGTGCCCTTGCCAAGACAATGTCACTACAATGAACTCTAATAAATGCCATACAGATGTTGTTTATGCGGATCGTTTATTTGCATGATGGGACTCTCAGTGCTCTGCAGCCTATGGGCCACCCAGAATCCACTTTGACGTCACGCGTCAACTTTTGTATAAATGCGCGGCACTGCGGTGTATACATGTGTCTTTCCACACATCAGGCAGAAGGGAATAGTGCCCAGGGTGGACGAGAAGAAACACCACCGTGTATAGGTCAGGTATTTGGGGGGATTTGCCCACCGTGCGTAATGACGAGTGTTGCTGTAAATAGAAGACTGGCGGCTTTCTGAGGGAAGAGGATCGCAGTAGTTCATCCTGAGGAGGGGGACAGGAGTTACTCATTCCTCACTCTAACTGTGGCATACCTGTGCGCGCACATGTCACCATCAAACCAGTCTCCAAATCCATGGATGAGAAGGACACAAAGACAGCAGCATGGTGGTTGTGGGAGCAAGTAACGGCAGCTTCGGGAGTGGCAACATGAGGTCGTCCTTCATGATAGAAGACCGGACAGGAGGAGCTGGAGATCCCGGAGGAAACGCGATGATCTCCGAGGGTCTGGGGCCGCGGCTGCTGAAGATTGCGCAAGGCGCGGCAGAAGCGGCAGCAGCAGTAGCAACGACGTCTCCATCCACCTCCAGTCAGCCGCTGGTGATGGAGATAAACGGCACGCGGTGCGGGGAGCAGATTCTGGGCTACGGCCAATTTGAGAAGGTGCTGATCGGCGCGGTGCTCACCATGCTGACGCTGAGCACCATTTGCGGGAACATGTTGGTGGTGATCTCCGTTTGTTTCGTGAAAAAGCTCCGGCAGCCCTCCAACTATCTGATCGTTTCTCTGGCTGTGGCGGACCTGTCGGTGGCTCTGGCCGTCATGCCGTTCGTCAGCATCACAGATCTGATCGGGGGTCAGTGGATCTTCGGGCAGTTCTTCTGTAACGTGTTCATCGCCATGGATGTGATGTGCTGCACCGCGTCCATCATGAGTCTGTGCGTAATCAGCATCGACAGGTGAGATGGAGTTTTCTTAACCTTTCATTCATACAATCACAACATCTTAGACTATAGAATACACCAGGCAGATATACAACTTTATTTATCCAGCTTGTACGCACGGAACGAGACTCTCCACGTGCAGAACTTTATCAGAAATAGACACATTTTGGCCACATGCATCCTGTCCCTTTACGCACCACATTCTAGCAAATATAGCCATCACCCAGTCTAATAAGATATTTAGAGAACGTGGGGTTTGTGTGGAGGCACGGTGCGGCTCAGGAGTTTTCCTCAAAGGCACTTTTTTTTTTTAAATATGGAGACTTCTGTAACGTGTTCGTCGCCATGGATGCGATGTGCTGCCTGTGCGTAATCAGCATCGACAGGTAGAGTTATTATAGCCTTTAACAGAGGACATGGTTTCATTCCTGAGCCAGAGAACTTACACCGGCAGATAAAACACGTCATATATTTTTCATTTATAATTTATCTAACTTTTAGGCATGGCACGAGACTCTCCATGTGCAGATTTGGTCAGAAATAGACACATTTTGGCCACATGCATCCTGTCCCCTTTACGCGCCATATTCTTGCAGATATTGCCATCACCCAGTCTATAAGATATTTAGAAACAAGACGCTGTAACGGGGTTTGTGTGGAGGCACCCTTTTTCTCAAGGGCACTTTTTGAAATGTGGGGACATCGCCATGCATCGTGTCCATCACGGAGTTATTATAACCTTTAACAGAAAATAAGCATTCTATTCCTAAAGAGATTTACAACATTGACACTTCTTATCATCGTGAGACAAGCCAGAGAACACACAAGGGCAGATAAAACACTTCATATATTTTTAATTAATGATTTATCTAACTTTTACGCATGGCACGAGACTCTCCACGTGCAGATTTGGTCAGACAAAGACACATTTTGGCCACATGCATCCTGTCCATCTTACTCCTATATTCTTCCAAAATTGCCTTTACCCAGTTTAATAAAACATGTTGTCGAGACACTGTAACGTTGGGTTTGTGAGGAGGATCTCAAGGGCACTTTGAAAGATTTAGGGGGAGACAAAGGGGGCTGCAGAGGATCAGACATGTGACCTTTCTGATGGGTTCTCTGTCCTTGATTCCTTTATGAAAGAGTACAAAACAGAACAAACGAAGCAAAGGAAGTGAAAACCATGAAGCAGATTCAGAAAGTAGAAGTATAGATTCTCTCTTACAGTATTATCCCACAAAAGAGAACATCTGATCCTTTACAACAAACACTATGTGATCTGGACTAACACTGTAACCCTGCTCAGGTAATCCACAATCTTTAGAAATGTATCTGTAAGAAAATTCACTTTTTTAGTATCCTGATTTCCCCGTTATAATCCGTGACTCTCCAGACCGGCTCTTTATTTAAAGGGGACCTATCATCCAAAATGCACTCTTTGATGTCTGTTATAAATCAATGTGTCCCCGGTGTGTCGGGGAACTCACGCAGCTGCAGAAAATAAAACCCTCTCTCTTTTCCTCCGTACCCAAATCTCTAAAAACGGGGAACAACGGAGCTGATCCAGATTTGAGTCCGATATGACGTAATATCTGAAATGTGGACCCACGGCCCAATCAGAAACGTTGCTATCAGAAACAATGCCCGACTGTTTTGGACGTAATATGGTCGGTGTTTACATTAGCATCGCTAACACTCAGAGCTAACCTGTACTGGAGAGCATGTGTGTGAAGAAGCAGGAAGTAACAAGGAACTCACCTTGTGGTATAACCGGCAAGAGAGAAAGCCTTTGAGCTCCAAACTGTTTCAGAGAGATGTTATTGATCATTGTGGAGAGAGGCAGACCTGTTGTTTTGTATTATAGCAGCTATCGGATGGAATCAATACATGGGCTGCACAGGTTGTCGTGTCCGACTATCACAAGTAGAATCATAATAAAAATACGCCGGTAAAATCTGCCTGTAGAAAACGGTTTATGCCACAATAGGATAGCAATAGCAAGTAGTCAGTTTAGCTTCGGTTGCTATGCTAACATCACCCATTTTATACCAGAGAAACTTCCATAACAGCGTTGTGATGCCAAACAGCGTCAATTCAGACTGACACACATTCAGGGGAACTGGGGATATGTATCAGCTGCTTGTGTGAGTCGGACAGTGAATACGTTAGAGCGGCCGCAGCAGTGTGAGCTAACCGGGAGCTAACGGGGGAGAATAAACTCCCGTGGAAGAGCAGCCAACACTGCAGCGGTCGGTAAATGCTGCAGAAACACATTAATAAACAATGAACCACGGCACTCTGGAGAAAAGCATAAGGTTGGAGAAGTCGTTATTCAATTTATTCTGGCTTCGTGTGATTAAAAGCAACACGATCATCGACCCGACGCAGTTCCTCGTTGTTGTTGTTGTTGTTGTTGTGAGCGCCATAATGCCGTTGGGGAGCAAATCAGCGATATAAACGGTGACGTCATGACGCAGCAGCGGCAGCACCAGTCGGGCTCTGGGCGGTGTGAACAGAAAAGGGAAACCGGAGCTGAACCAGAAAAGCTCTAGCTCGGAGCTAGAAAGGGAAAAGCGCTGGTGTGAAAGCCGCATCTGAGGCAGATGATAGCTCTGTGATTAACATGATGGTTCAGCCTCTATGGAGAGAGACATCAAGCATGCTCATTTCTGACGTGGAGCTAATCTGAAGTGAACATTGAATACTGCTTTCTGTTCCTCCATCTTGTGACTGTGTAACTCCCTCTCTTGGATATCAGCATGTGAAGGACACTGTTCAGGAACTAGTTGATGCTCTGTATGTGATGACTCCTTCCATTCTGGAGAGGATCGCAGATACATGGATCCTGAGGTTCAAACTCAAGCCGGGGACCAGGGAGAGTTCTCTAACAGAAAGCAAAGCACACCAACACCTTTCTCTCTCTCCTCAGGTATCTTGGCATCACCAAACCTCTCACGTATCCAGTGCGTCAGACCGGCTGCTGCATGGCTAAGATGGTTCTGTCAGTGTGGCTGCTCTCCGCCTCCATCACCCTCCCTCCTCTCTTCGGCTGGGCGCAGAACGTAAACGACGGACGGGTCTGTCTCATCAGTCAGGACTTCGGATACACCGTGTACTCCACGGCGGTGGCGTTCTACATCCCAATGTCCGTCATGTTGATCATGTACAACCGGATCTACAGAGCGGCCAAACTCAGCGCCGCCAAACACACCATCACCTGTTTCCCCAGGCAGAGGTGAGAGGGGTGGAGCACAAATACTTAAGACAAGATAAGATATCTATATAGGTATCTATGTATTATTCACATAGGTGGGAAGTAGTGGAGCACAAATACTTTGTTCCTGTACTTAAGTACATGTTTCTGGTATCAGAACTTTACTCCACTACTTATTTTTCTGACGACTTTTAACTTTCTACTTCTTACATGTTGAACCCAAATACCTGTACTTTCTACTTCTCACATGTTGAACACAAATACCTGTACTTTCTACTTCTCACATGTTGAACCCAAATACCTGTACTTTCTACTTCTCACATGTTGAACTCAAATACCTGTACTTTCTACTTCTTACATGTTGAACTCAAATACCTGTACTTTCTACTTCTTACATGTTGAACTCAAATACCTGTACTTTCTACTTCTCTCATTTTCCAAACAGCTGGTTCCTTTAGTCTGAATGTGTGTTTGATGCGTGATCATTATTCTTTAGAGTCATTGCGTGCCTATTGATTTGAACACGATCCGTGTATCCATCATTTCCTGGTCTTCTCTAAAGAAGAGGGACCAATGGAAACGTTGTCATGTTGCCGTTGTTCAGCATGGAAACATTCATTAGCTAACAATGACATTATTGTTCTATTAATATAAAGGGAGGTCAGGTACTCTTTAAAACAGCTGCTAGTTATGGGTACTTTTTACTGAAGTACACTTCAAAGCCTCTTTACTTTCACTTGAGTAAAGAGGTTTAGTCAGTAGTTCTACTTATACCAGAGTATTTTTAAACACGAGTATCTGTACTTCTACTTGAGTAAAGGATGTGCACTTGTGCCCTCTCTCTCCCCAGGGAGGCTCTCCGAGGGGGGAAACGAGGAAAAGACGGTCACCGTGTGGATGTTTCGGAGGAAACGGGAAGCGTTAAAGCGATGGAGAACGTGGAGGAAGAAGAAGAAGAGAGTTTTGATTGTGTGGCGGCGGCTTTGAAGCTACAACGGGAAGTGGAAGAAGAGTGCAGCACACGGGTTTCTCGCCTCTTAAAAACTGGGGATCGCAGGAAGAGGAAAAACCAGTCAATTTTTAAGCGTGAGCAGAAGGCGGCGGCCACGTTGGGAATCGTTGTCGGGGCTTTTACTTTCTGCTGGCTTCCTTTCTTCTTGGTTTCCACCGCGCGGCCTTTCATCTGCGGCGTGGAGTGCAGCTGCGTCCCTCTGTGGCTGGAGAGGACGCTGCTGTGGCTCGGATACGCAAACTCCCTCATCAACCCCTTCATTTACGCCTTCTTCAACCGCGACCTGAGGACCACCTACAGCAACCTCCTGCGGTGCCGCTACAGGAACATCAACAGGAAGCTGTCGGCCGCCGGCATGCACGAGGCTCTGAAGCTGGTGGAGAAACCGGAGAGCGACGCGTGAAGCTGCCGTGAAGACAACGATAACATAAAAAAGAAATCAAGATAAAGATTGAAGCTGCCGATCAGACGCTGCCAGGACGGTTCATTCAAACCACAGAAACTCTTGAAATCAACTAGAAAGAGATGTCTTTCTGGTTCGTTAGTGTCCCCAGCCGAGTGCTCAGACTGAAGAGAGCTTTTATACACTTTCAATGAATACATAGAATCCTTTCATTATACAGGTACAATGAGACGAGTAGAGCTACTTACGGTGCCATCAATACATGCTTAGTCACGAGGTAACTGACCCCTGATCAGAGTACAATAGATCTACTGTCTTCACATGTAAGGCTTATTGTATTATTTATATATTAAATAACATCATAGCTTTGAATTCTCTGATAATCATGATTTCCATTACAAGCGAGAAGCAGCCAATCAGACTCCAACAATGACGGTTCATTCAAACCACATTAGTGCGATGATTGCTGCGGGGAGACGAGGGGTTTCATATTAGATTTATTCAGCTTTTCCGCGTGCAACGAGGCTCTCCACGTGCAGATCGGTCAGACAAAGACCATCCCCCTTTTCACGCCATATTCTTGCACATATTGCCATCACCCAGTCAAATACGTTCTTCTTAAGGGCACTTTTTAAAACGGTGGTTACTTCTGCATCGCGTCCATCATGAGTCTGTGCGTTATCAGTATCGACAGGTGAGATATTATATTAACAGAGAAAGCCTTTTATTCCTAACGATATGTCACAACATTGACACGTCTTATCATCGTGAGACAAGCCAGAGAACACACCAGGGCAGATATAACACTTTATATATTTTTAATTGATGATTCATCTAACTTTTAGGCGTGGAACGAGACTCTCCACGTGCAGATCGGTCAGACAACGACACATTTTGGCCGCATCTTACTCCTATATTCTTCCAAAATGGCCTTTACAGTCTAATAAAACATGTCGTGGAGACGCTGTAACGTTGGGTTTGTGAGGAGGATCTCTGAGTCTTCATTAAGTGAGACTGCTCGATAGCATAATGATATTCACTGAGGGAAGGAAGCACACAAAGGGTATCCAGAGAAAAGTACTATCATTGTGTCATCTTTGTTTTGTGAGCAAAATCAAATCAAAATGTATTTATATTACACTTTTCATACTCTTTAAAAGTTTCGTAAAGTAATGTATTGGTGCCATCTGTCTACGGGCTTTACACGATGTATCATTAAGAGCATATTAGAGATGAGGGCTTGCATGGATGAAGGAAGGATGCTTTTCTTAAACCAGTGGCTGCTGCAGAACATTCCTGTGCAGCATGTGACACACACATCCACAGCTGCCTCCAAACGGAAGAGCTTTGCATATCGTTGGATCTAAACACTGACTTTGTCCTCTTTGAGCACCACGAGAGGAAGCGCTCATCTCTCTGGACAGTGTCTTCTTCTCTTTCCAGATTAAGCCAAGGAAACATTTAAAACAAAAAGGAGAAGGCTTGAGCACTAAATGTATTCTCTTATCATCACTGTTTTATTTCACGATGAACAAGTGGACAATAAATGATTGATCAGCCACGCCAAGACGTCCCTGGGATATAAGTTCGTATGTCTTTGGTCAATGTGTTGGTTGTGCCAAAACCTTTCTTTCTTTCTACTAAAGTCATGAACTTGTTGAATCAGATGCTTTGTAATCAGGCGGCTCACATATGAACACATTTGAAGGAGATGACGGGAGGTCAGAGATGTTTGGAGGACGTCTTCAGCGTGCCTGTGCCTTTCACTGCGTTATCGTTAAAGAGTTACTTGCAGGTCTATTTTCCAGCACCTCACGTGTTAGACTTGACGCCATGTGTGAGAGACACTTTGAATGACCGACTTTTATCCCCGTTGTATATTTCATCGCGCACAACATCATGTGAAAAAGGAAGCTAATGGAGGCGATGATCTTTAAGGGACACGATCCCAATCCATGTCCATCAAGTTGCTTATCTCTGAAGAACGTCAGAACATAAACTGTCGATGAGATTATCTGAGACACTAATGGGATGTCTACAAATGAGTTTTCTTGTCTGAACCCAAAGATAATCAGTTTTCAGCAAAAGGAAAAAAGACAGATGTAGTAATCGTTGCACTTGAGAAGCTGCTTACTGTAAATCTGCGGGTGTTTTTATTTGATAAATGACTTGAAAACACGAAGAAGTGGTGACAAATCTTTTTCTAAAACATTCATGAGATAAAAACAACGTATTTAATAAACTTTTACCATTACAAAATCTAAAGTTCAAATGTTAAAGGTCTCCATTTTCTTCTCTACGATGATAAGTGAATATGTAAGGCTCAATCTGCATTGTGTTATTGGACTGAATGGACTTGTTGTGTTATGAATCTGCTTCATCAGGAGGGTGAGAGTAGCAGCGGGCGGGCAAATGCTCTCTGTGTACGGTCTTTACACGATGTATAATGAAGAGAATCTTATAGATATCATATTAAACTGACAAAAGTAAAGGAAGGGAAAAGTCACAATTACTGTTCTTTGCTTTTTCAGCACCATGGACAGCGTCATCGTTCAGCAGGAGAGGACTCTTTAAAGTAGAGACACTACATACTGATATACACCTGAACATCAGCAGGAGAGGACTCTTTAAAGTAGAGACACTACATACTGATATACACCTGAACATCAGCAGGAGAGGACTCTTTAAAGTAGAGACACTACATACTGATATACACCTGAACATCAGCAGGAGAGGACTCTTTAAAGTAGAGACACTACATACTGATATACACCTGAACATCAGCAGGAGAGGACTCTTTAAAGTAGAGACACTACATACTGATATACACCTGAACATCAGCAGGAGAGGACTCTTTAAAGTAGAGACACTACATACTGATATACACCTGAACATCAGCAGGAGAGGACTCTTTAAAGTAGAGGCACTACATACTGATATACACCTGAACATCAGCAGGAGAGGACTCTTTAAAGTAGAGACACTACATACTGATATACACCAGAACATCAGCAGGAGAGGACTCTTTAAAGTAGAGACACTACATACTGATATACACCTGAACATCAGCAGGAGAGGACTCTTTAAAGTAGAGACACTACACACTGATATCCACCTGAACATCAGCAGGAGAGGACTCTTTAAAGTAGAGACACTACACACTGATATCCACCTGAACATCAGCAGGAGAGGACTCTTTAAAGTAGAGACACTACATACTGATATACACCTGAACATTAGCAGGAGAGGACTCTTTAAAGTAGAGACACTACATACTGATATACACCTGAACATCAGCAGGAGAGGACTCTTTAAGTAGAGACACTACATACTGATATACACCTGAACATTAGCAGGAGAGGACTCTTTAAAGTAGAGACACTACATACTGATATACACCTGAACATCAGCAGGAGAGGACTCTTTAAAGTAGAGACACTACATACTGATATACACCTGAACATCAGCAGGAGAGGACTCTTTAAAGTAGAGACACTACATACTGATATACACCTGAACATCAGCAGGAGAGGACTCTTTAAAATCAAACATACAAAAAAAGGACAATTAAACGCGACTCAAAGGTGGATTCCCCCTGACATCCTAAAGAGGCCTGAAGTCACATTAATAGAAGCGTACATAGTTAAAGATCAAATAAAGTATTTGACTCTGTATAAAATCAGACTACTGGTGGTTTAAAAAAAGGGGATTACTTTCTACATTTTATAATGAAGATCTATCTCTCACCGGTTGACGCACTGCCTGGATCTCCTTTTTGTTTTTCATTCAGGCTACTTCCTTTGTTTTAAGCCTTTCTTGTATTGAAATGCAGTCAGTGGACTCCTGATTTATGAAACACCATTTCCTGTGATTACTTTTAATTCATGTGTTAAACTAAAACAGCATTTGCAAAAAAGTATTTTCTGTATAGCTTGAGGACACATATTTGATCCTCAATATCTTGGTTTCTTCTTTGCCAAGGTCACATTGTTCTGTTGTCTTACTTAAAACACTGCAGTAAAAAACTCTTTCAAATATTTATTTTGTCTTGTATTTATTTGCATTGCATTTTATACTGAGGTAATCCAAGAGTAACAGGAAGTAAACTTTAAATAAAATATTTGCTGTCATATTTCTGCATGACTTCGACCTTTTTTGTGAAGAATTAGATCGCTTTGTGGGCGATGATCTGAAAAGGAGTTGAATCAGTGAAGTGAACTCGCTCTGGGCTCGCTGCCATTTCCTGTCTGATAATGATCTACTGTGGACACACACACACACACACACACACACACACACACACACACACACACACACACACACACACACACACCCATGCACACACACACACACACACACACACACACACACACACAAACACACACACACACACACACACACACATGCTGGTTTCCATGTGCATTGAGGACCAAGTTTCTGATCATCACTTCAGGGGACCACCCTTTCTAGAGGGCCGAGAGGTCTGAAAAAAATCAGACACACACACACACACGCACACACACACATAAACACACACACACACACACACACACACACACACACACACACACACACACACACACACACACACACACACACACACACACACACACACACACACGATCATTTATTATTTACTAACTTGCAATTTATCAAAGAGTCTTGATGAAAATTAGATTTTTTTCGCCCACTTTCGTTTTATTTACGAATTCTGGTTCACTTCCTCTCTAAAGTATAAATAGGGAATGGGAACCGCATTCGATGCTGCGCTCCAATCTGGAGGAAACGTGCAACCACAGCAGCCGTAAATATCTATATCAGCGTTTCCTCGTCATCCGTCAGCGTTTTGCATCTCAAATGAATAAAGTATGCACAAAATATAATTGCCCTTACAAAGACAAGATATGGGCTGGGTCAGTGGTCAGTGTATGTTTTGGTCATTGGATTTTCTTTTCACAAATGGAAATTCAAAAACGTAAACGACTGGATATTTGATTTTTGTTTTCAAATTGAAAAACCAAAATTGAAATACAAGGAGTTTTTCTTTATCATGGTCAAAAATGGATTTACTAAACTTAAAAAACGGGATGATTTTTAATTTTCTACTTCTCAAAACAAAAAATAAAATCACTAGAACACAGAAACAAACAAAAACCCCGTTTTTTCATATTCTGCTACCGGAAGTTGTCTTTCAAAATAAGAGCGCAGATGAGGACGGTCAATCCGTGTATCGACGGTCCATTTGTTTTCACAACGAAAACAGCCAAGACACATATTGAGCCCAGATAATGAATGTTATTGACGGCTGTGAATATAATAGGCCTGTGTCTAAAATGGACAACATTGTTTGGAGATTTCAACTATACAGCGATTCTGCACTGCGCTCAGCCGCCTCTCGAGTTTGTTATTATTTTTTCTGCCATTAGTTCTTCGTGAGATCGATCCTGTAGGCTAGTAGTGAAACTACTCCCACAACAAGTACTATGAAGTACTTACTGTGTACTTTTTGAGTAATATTCTGTCAATGTCCCCTCCTGAGAATAATAATGCATGTTTCTCTGCTATTTTGAATCAGCGTTAAAACACATTTCTTCATGAGACTGATATTGGACAGAGTATTTTAAGAGGATGATAGACATGATATCAGCAATACTTCCAGTCAGTAGTACGGCAGCAGCATTTTTACACCTTTGAAGTTAATAACAATATTGATATTATATAGATATAGCATATGTGATGCAGTCTTTCTGAACACTTTTAAAAGAAAATACTGCAAATTAAGAATATTTGTAATGTTCAGATAGTGCCTTAACCCTAGGCATGACTTTTTATTTTGGAAGGAAACAAATGTTCCCTGATATTATATCAATTATAAAATGTGACTCATTTATCCAGTCGTTTTTGTTTTTGAATATCCATTTGTGAAAAGAAAGTCCAATGACCAAAACATACACTGACCGGGCAGAAACAAAGGACCCTTAGAACAATTAATGAATGACATCTGATTGACTGATCAGTGTTACTGAACACTGGCGTTATATAAGGAAAATCAATTGAAAAAACTATTTTCTTTTCAAAGAAACTCTTGCTTAGTGTTTGTATTGATCCTTCTAATCCCAAATAGCCAGGAGGAAACACCGAGCAAACGGCTCTCAGGAGGCCGGACGCTTCTGAAATGTTAGTGTTTGTGCCAGCGGACGCTCAGCCTGTTAAGAAACTATAATCTGTTTGTGAGAGGCTCAATACTGCACCGTGTTCTGAAGCATCGAGTCACCTCTTTACAGCAGATGTGCCAACAGGATGTTCACTACTGGGATTATTCATACTCATCCTGCAGGACTCTGGGCTGTCTGCAGCTTCAGAGCGTTCACAACAAAGAGCACACAGTCCTTTGTGTTGAAAACGCTGTGCACATATAGTGGAGACAAATCACAACAGTTGGACTTAATGACCCATAAAGTCTGCAAGACAAGCTTTATGGGATTTCTCTGCCAGATTCACCACAAACATTTCCCGTGCACAAACATGTAAAATATTATATCGCTGCAGTCATTATGTTCCAGCAGGATCATAATGCGCTCTTTAAAGGTTTTATGGCAGAAAAGGACAAACTAAGGTGGCCAACAGATTCAAATGTGAATCAACGGCTCAAAACATTTCCATCAGGAGAAATGTGCTGCAGCTTCAGAAAGGATGCAGATATAAAAACAAATGTTCCACATGAAGAAACATCTCCAGCAAAATGACAACACATGCAGCATTTAGAGAACACTCAGCAGCTTGAGGAGACATGGCAGCGTTTACTAAAAGCTGCAGGAACCAAACGCTGCAGAAGCTCAAAACACAACGGAGACCAGGGGACACTAAAGAGTGACGCACACAGCTGGAGACCAGGGGACACTAAAGAGTGACGCACACAGCTGGAGACCAGGGGACACTAAAGAGTGACGCACACAGCTGGGAGACCAGGGGACACTAAAGAGTGACGCACACAGCTGGAGACCAGGGGACACTAAAGAGTGACGCACACAGCTGGGAGACCAGGGGACACTAAAGAGTGACGCACACAGCTGGAGACCAGGGGACACTAAAGAGTGACGCACACAGCTGGGAGACCAGGGGACACTAAAGAGTGACGCACACAGCTGGAGACCAGGGGACACTAAAGAGTGATGCACACAGCTGGAGACCAGGGGACACTAAAGACAGGGTTGCCAACTTTGGGTTCCTGGCTGGAGTGAGATTTTGATATCATGGGTTTAATTACACATATGCGCACAAAATGACTGCTATCGTGTCAGCCGCGGGACCGTAGCATATATATAGGATATATACACAATATATACAAATACACAATATTGGACACAGACTATAAAGGGCACAAAGTTTCATTCACTATTGAAAGTCAAACACATGTTTGTTTCCACTGTTTTATTGTGTGCCTGTCGCGATAAGCAATTAATTGACTTATCGTACGATAAATAAAAATGAACTCGATAAATTCCCATTTACATGAGGATGTGACTAGCAGTTTGAAAGGATGTACTTGAATTATTATTATATATTATCATTATGTTAGTGGTCTAAAATGGTCATAAAACGGTGCCGACAATATTATCGTTTATCGCAATAATTTCCGGGAAAATGTATCCAA